TCCAGGAATAAGATTATCAGCTCGATCACTTTGATTAGCGGCAATAAAGTCAGGATAATATATAGAAGGTAACGGTTTTAATAGTTCGAGTTCAGGGGATACCTGACGTTGAAGATCATAATCAAGAACTTGGGCACGTTCCATAGCCTGCGCGAGGTTAAAAGAGCTAATATCCCAACCACCAAGAACCAAGTCATTAGGGTGAACCATGGGCAAGATATGGTTAAAAGGGATGTAATAATCATTTCCATTTGCATCTACGCCTAATTTGAGAGTGGAAGCTTGAACGACGGACCCAAAATAGTTTGGAGATTTGACGCCATCTTTTGTGCGCCACGTAATATTGCGGCGATTGGCAATGATACTGGCGGTAAGGGTTGAGCCATTATTACCTCCCCATCCAACCATCATCAATCTTTAATGTTATATAATTATTGAATTAGTTTACTTGGTTTCAAAAATATGAAAAGCTTTATCCAAGAAAAAAAAGGTATTAAAGGAAAGGTTCCTATTGGAAGTGAATTTCAAAAACTCTTCGCGTGCGTAAAGATCAACTCAAATTTGGAAATTCCCTAATTTTTAAGACTTACCCGACTTTCGGAACATTCAATTCGGTTTTGAATTGATATTTGGTATCAGTGGGAATAATTTCTAAGGTACCATCGATGTTGTTTTTAGAAACAGTGGTGTTCTGATAAACAAAGTCTGCAATAATATGAGTATCGGTATATTTGACATTAGGAGAAGTAACCTTAAGCGGTTGAACTGGCTCAGAGAAAGGGGTTTGAGAGGTATTTGGTGGCATTATAGATGCTACCGAAGTGTGAAAATTCTAAAGTGTAATAAAAGGCTATCTCGGCTTTGAGCCAATCGTTCTCCTTCGTCCTCTATAAGGATTGTGGAGTGATGCGAGCAAATTCGAAAACGTGGTGGGCAAGTTTTTTTAAGGTAAATTGCGTTATTACGCCTTAAATCTTGTTAAAAGCAAAGTTTTTCATAAATTTAGTAAACAAATTAATAATGATAAATTACATAAAGGAATATATGAGTTTCTTACGTTCTGTTCAATTAATTTAAATTTTTAGCAAAAAGATAAAAATAAATAAATTTTTTTTTTTCAAGTTGCCCCTGAATATATAATTCGAAAAAAATTGTTGATTAGATTTTAGATTTTCGACTGATAAAAAATTTGGTCACTTTAACAACCAATTATTCAAGAATGATAAAAATAATCTTTTTTTGATATAACATCATCACGATTTAAAGAAATATTCCTATATATGACATAATTTATTTGTGAAAAACCCCACAAACAAGCAGTCACCTTTGATTTGGAAATGATCAGTTATTTTAACGT